TGGATTTATCTTGTCAATCTTGTTTGCAGGCCTAAGGGTGCATCTACACATTGCCATATGGCAATGTTGCTACGGTGCCGTGCTTTAGTACTTCTTTTTGGAAGTGCTAAAGCACGGTGCAATATGGGCAGGTACTGTGCTGTGCACACGGTGCACAGATAAAATATTCTGCTATGTCGCCATAGCCGTGCACTGTATTCAGGGAGTGCCCCACTATGGTGATGTAGCTGGCAATCATGTGTAGATACATGTGATCACTACGTCGCCGTAGCATGCTGTACGGCAATGTAGCATATCTCTATGTTGCCATAGGGCGACATGTAGACACTCCCTAATAGTACTAACATTTATGGTACCCTGTGGCACCCTTGAAATGATGTCCAGGTACCCCAGCATGCCATGGTATCTTGTTTGAGAATCACTGGCTTAGACCTTTATAAAGGAGTTGTGAGAACTGCTTTTTAGCTTTCTTCCCTGGTTTGCTACAGGGACATTAAAGCCACTGCTTCTTAAGATATGTAAGGCCTTATTCTGCCCCAGTTGAAGTCAATGAGTGACTACAGTGGGAGCAGAAAAATGCTCATTATACTTCCTTCCTTGCCATCTTGACACCACTGATACTCTCATCGCCCCTCTTCTGCACTAGTCCAGGGCTTACTGAGCCTTAATTGCATGCACAGATTAACAATGGACAGTACAATGTATGTGTTTTAGGTCGATATGAGATTGTGCTTGCTAATGCCTCAGCTGTATAAGTCTTTCTCATTATAGCAAATCAGCCTCTCCAACAGTGACAGAGTGGCTTTTATTATGACAATTTATAACTGAAAACAGTGAGAAAGCAGTGAAATCTAAAATATGTCCCAATAATCCTGTGCCAGTATCTACCATCCTGGGAAGCCTGCTCTCCACCAAGGTTAATGAGGCATAAAAGTGGCTTCCTTTTCAGGGTGGTGTAATGGAACATCAGGCCAGTAGGCCAAACATGTTCATAGGAGTTACAGTGTAATGTACTTAAGAGGATGGCAAGAAGTTGGACACCGTGTTAGGCCATGTTATTTGTGAAACAATTAGGGTTCATGCCTTACTGAACAGCCTTGTGATCTCCTCTGATTCTTTGTTTTTCTGCACCAAGTGTGGGCAGGAAAGAATCAGTGAGACCTGAACCAATATAGTAATTTAGCCTCAGAATAATCTTATAGTTTACCATGTTGATTTAAAACTATGCAATGGCAGAAAGTTATTCTATGGTACAGAGTCAAAGAGGCCAAGATACTAAACAGCATCAGAAATCTCTACTGGCAATTATTAAATATTCCTTGATATCAGCTTAATCTGAATTAGTTGCCAGTCAGAACTGACAGCCAAGGAGTGTGTTGAAGTTGGCTACAAGTGAGAGCTATTCTGTACTTTTACATTTTTCTTGCTGTACATTTTGACAATAGAACAAGTTTTCCTCCTCAGTTTTCTTTGGAGCAACATACGGTAACCATCTTTTATTAGTTCACCCCAAATATTTTCAGGCTTGATCATAGGGTTTTAATTGGATGCGACTGAGGTCTCAGATAGAATGGGAATAAGAGAATCAGCCTTTACAATACCAGAGTTGTTCACAGGAGAATTAATAATGTAGTTGCCTTTGGAAAGTTATCAAGCCCTGAGCAGATTGGAAAATATCATTTTTTATTTTTTTACCTCTACTTCCTAATGTCAGAGATAGCTTTGTTTTTTCTGCCTTTGTCTTTCACTATATGACACCCTAGGCAGAAATTATAGTTCAGAGCTGTGTGTGGCAGTAGTAAACCCAAAAGTCTCAATAAGTAAACATAAGCACCTGAGTTAAGGCAGAGCCATGCACAGCTTTTCTGTTTGTTAATTCTGTTTTCTGTGGCTGTTGTGCTACAAGGGATCCTTTGCCATGGTGTCTATTGGAAAGAACATCTTTTCATTATATTTAATTTATTTCAAGGATCCATAGCCAGAGAGAAGAGTGACTGCGGTTATTTTACCATGCAACTATTATTTATGTCACATGATGTATTAGAAGGCATTAAACCCTTGTAAGTCTATGTTTTGGTTTACTGTCTTATGAAACCCAAGAAAGGACAAAATTTTTCATTTTAATTCCAAACAGACACATCTGGGCTAGAATACCGTGTTGCATTTCATTGCATAGGGAAGTTTATGGCCTTGGAAAAAAGGCATTACAGAGATTTCTCCAAACCCTGTTGTTATTTTTACTTTGCCTTATTTGTGCTGCGGTAGTACCTGGGAGCTCCCTTAAGTTAGCAATGGTACAAATATATAACAGAGGTGGATGACAAGCAAAGAGCATGCAGTTACAAGACTATAGACAACACGTGGATATAAAAAGAGATGTGAAGTGTCCAAGAGAACAGCCCTAATCAGCCTGCAATACCGATGACCACAGCGTTTTGTGCTGAGCTTTTGTGCGCACCGCAGCCGAGGGGAGTTTCCATGGATTCCAGTCGGCTTTGGACTGGCCCCATACCAAGGTTTCACTCTGGCAACCTGAACATGATGGTAACTGTCTGCTTCACTGTTTTTTTTAGCCTACCATGTGCTTTGTATTTGCATGTGGTTGAGCTATGAGGAACCAACCTCTCAAATATTATGTCTTGTATAGATCTAGAGTATATGAACATTTTGTCTTGGCTTCTTTCTAGAAAGTGCCACATGTCACTGAAAGGGTAGTGGTTTGTTTTTAACTATAAGAGATATAATTTCAGATGTAATTTATGATTTTAAATGCATAATAATTTGGCCATATTACATATATTGCTTAAGTCATTCATTACGATGCTTAGCTTAAATGACCCTCTCGGTAAAGTTTGCAGTATACTTTTTTATTTACTTCCCAGAGTTCAGTAGTTATTTACTTAATTAAAGTGAAAGCTTTTTCTTTTCTGGTTCTGATAAATAAGTGGGTGCTTAAAGACTGTTACGATTTTAGATGACTCTGCAGTTCTATTATACAGTACTTAACTCTTTCATAACACATTATACACAAAAGTCTAAAAAGACTAAAAACAAAATTTTAAAAGCCAAAGATGGTTTGTCTTTTAGAGGAAAAGACATTTTAAAGAGTGGAAAACAGTCAGAAACACAGTGGTAAAGTGACTTGCCTAAAGCCATAGGGGAAATCAATTCAGAACCAGTCATATACTCTAACCACAACATCATCCCTCCTTAGCCACCTAGTTTTCTACCTGAGCAAGCAAATTAAACAAGCAGAAAGCAGCTGTGATGTGGCTTTCCAGCTTGCTCAAAGATGCCCTAGAACCAATGGGCTGTTCACAATTTTTCAGGACACCGCTTAGTATAATTTCTGGACAACTATACAGATTGCTGCTTCTGTTAGTCTCTGAGATGTCAAAGTCAATCAGTCGGTAGCTAACTGTCACTGTGGATAAGGCTATACTTAGGGGTATAATCTCATCTTGGTGCACAAGTAAATCCATGCATGTCACCGTGAAACTGTCTTAAGCAGAAACTGAATCTTGCAGAAAGGTGAAACCAGGCAGTATGTGGGCTCCCAGCTGCTGGACTTCTGGAGGCACTGACTCTGGTATAGACTCATTTTGTGATCTTAGTCAAGTCACTTGGTCAAGTTTTCTATGTATCACTTTTCCTACTAATTAAATTGGAAAAGCTTAATTACTATGGTCAAAGCCTCAGATTTAAACTCTTTTAATGCTTTAGTTCAACAGGTCTGAATATCCCAGCAGGACTGATTCAGCCTTCCTTCTTTTCTAAGCAGATATGTTTAGATGTTGTCTGCAGTATGGCTTTTTGTGTCAGCCCACCCACACTGATGTAGGTAAACTGACGCAAAACCTGAGCAAAGATGTGCTGCATCAATGTAAAATGGGTCTTACGTTGGCATAGTTATATAATTGCAAAAAACTCTGAACGCCAAACAAGCCTGTAACTCCATGTGGTCTCCTATGAGTGGGTCTTTTGGATGAGGCTGAATCTGAGATACCATCTGCTCCATGTGGATATTAAAGATCTCATGGCACTTTTTGCAGGAGTTGGCCAACATTTCTGTTCAGCCATCACTGTAGTGCAGTATGGTGCCTGCCTCTTGTCAGCCTGTGGTGATATACAAACTGAAGTAACATGCATATGTGTGCATAACAGCACTACCAATGGATCTGGCTGTATCAGTTGAGTTACAAGTGTAGTTAAAGCTCTAAGAAAACTGGGCATAGACCAGACTGAAAGACCAAGAGGCAGCTGTCTTGAAATGTGTCCCTCTTGGATGTTTACCCTATTCTGTTATTAGCCTTCTGAGATTTCATGTGAAGACTTGCTCCATCAGGACTATGTCCTCTACCAGTGAGCCAGGGCTCCTACACTTTGTTTTCCTTTATTATTATTATTATTATTATTATTATTATTATTATTGTTAACTGCTCTGGCAACATGAAAGTACTTTCTGAAAGCTTTGCCTGTCCATACATAGGAGAGTGCTATAGGAGGGGTGGCTAGCCTGCGACACACATGCCACAAATGACACATGGTAGATCAGGGTGGGAGCAGGGAGAACAGTGGTTGACAGGGAAGGGAGCAGAAAGCAGATCAGCACATAGGGCAGGAGAAGGGGATTGGGTGTGGGCTTTAACTTTGTGGCAAGTCTGCCTGAAAGGTTGCCCCCCACTGCTCTAACACAGATGGTTCCCTTAACTATATGGATGCAGTTGCTGGATGGAGTCTCTACCACATACCACACAGCATGTCCTAGTGCATATTTATATCGAAATGTTTCATAACACACATGTCCTTAGCACCACTGCCATAACAGTTTTAGGGACAAAACTGCTCTGGAGTCTAGTCTTCAAGTGAAATTAAATAATTAACACCTGCATGTAATTTATCATTTTCAAAGTGGAGAAGGTGGAATTTGATGTCGTTTACTGTTTTGTTATTTCAGATAAAACCTTAAGAACTGATTTTCCTCTCTGCTCTGTGCATACCTTACAGTCCGCTGTGCGTTTTGTAGGTCTTAGGGTTTGCTTGACGTTCCTGCACAAAATTTCCCTTCCCTCCTGCATTTGTATGGCATCCTAGGTATCTTCTCTGCTTCCCTCCATCCAAGAGACCACTGCAGTTTAGTATAAAAAGGCTCGTTCCTGTGTGGAACAAGATAAATCAGTGGTCACTGACATTACTTTGCAGAACCAACCTGAAATTTCAAATCCCCGGGGCTACACGTTCACGTTAGATCTTGATACCATGTTGTTAGATTAGGGCACTAGTCTAGGATTTGTGAGACCCTCGGGTCAAATTTGTTCTGCTTGCCACATACTTCCTGCGTGACCTTGGGCTACACAAAAGGTGAATGCAGTTCTGGGATGTAGCAGTAGAGTCGTTCAATGCAAGACATGGGAGGTGATAGTGCCTCTCTGCTTGGCATTGGTTAGGCCTCACCGTGTGCAGTTTTGGGCTCCACATTTCAAAAAGAACATGAAGAAGTTAGGTGGGGTCTAGCAGTGGGCAACAAAAATGATAAAGGGCTTGGAAGACAAGTCATACGAGGAGAGGTTGAAGAAAGTAGGCACGTTCAGCTTGCAGGAAAGGATGATATAAGTCTTTGAATATCTGAAGAGCTGCCATAAAGGAAGGAAAACACCTTTTCTGTCCTGCTGCAGAGACCAGGATGCAGACTAATGGCTTAAAATTGCAGCAAAGTAGGTTTAGGTTGGATATAAGGAAACATTTCTTCACTGTTAGAACAGGGGGCAGGGGAACAACGGTCCTGCTGGGACTTGAATCTCAGAGGTTCGTCCCCTCTGGGCCGATCACCACACATGGGGTCAGGAAGGAAGTTTATCTCATGGTCAAACTGGTACGGACTGGGCGGGGGGTTGCCTTCCTCTATAGCTGGCTGCCAGTTGATTCCAGTGGCGCCAAAACCTCAACCAAATGGCAGCCCATTATGAGGTGAAGCGTCTCGTCCTTCAAGCAGGGAAGAGAGGAAAGGAAAGGAAAGGAAAGAAATCCTGTCCTGAGGCCTACTCTCCCCCATGGAAAGACCGGCAACTTCTGCGAACGGGCTGGGACTCAGGCAGGGCGGCCATCACGGAGGACGTTCCGGTTTCGTATGGATAGAGGAGAGGGTAGCAGAAAGCCGGATGCCTTTACGTCCTCTCTGTTTCCCTTCAAGAACCAACCAATTATCTTCAAGAGAAACACAGAGGACATAAAGGCGTCTGGTTTTGTATCAACAGAGGACAACCGGACTGTCGTCCACGATGGCCGCCCTCCTCTGGAGTCGCCACAAGCCCCAGCCACAAGCCGTGGCAGAGACGATCCTGTAATGCCCAAACAGCGGGAACGGGGCCACGACACCAGCAGACAGGGCTGTGGGTCGGGAGCGAGGGGCCGTGCTGAGGGAACGGGGGTCACGCTGAGGGAACGTGGGAAGCGCGAGGATCCCGATGCGGGCTCGGCCCCCCACTCCACCTCGGCTGGGGGCACAGGGCCGTGTCGCGCGCCCTGTGGCGTCGGGACCGTGGATTTGGGCTGAAAGACCGGACGAGGCGTTTCAGGCGGGAAATGTCGGGGGTCCCTCGCAGCCCCCGGTCTCCGCGCCCAGGCAGGGCCCTGGCAATGCGGTGCGGGGCGCTGAGGGCGGCCAGGCCCGAGGAGCGGGGCGCGGGCCCGAGG